TGTGTGTGCGTGTGTGTGAGAGAGAGAGAGAGAGAGAGAGAGAGAGAGAGAGAGAGAGAGAGAGAGAGAGAGAGAGCTTAAACGTTTATGTTATGGCTGCATCTTGTGGCTGTTCAGCTAGGAACAATTGGTGCAGAAGACATGGCCCTTTGGATCAAGGCATTCTCACTGGCGCTCGAGCAGGTTTGTTCCTATCCAAGGTCAGTCTGCATGAATGTGCATTGTGTCCAATAATTGTTGGTAACTTTTGGGAAAGACTTGGATAGTAAAGTGACACTTAAAGCACCACTACATTCGAGGCTGTTTTTCACGAGCCTCCCGGGCGGCTTCTGCGCCAGAAAAAGAGAACCGGAGCAAGCGCCACTTTTTCTTCTTTTTGGCTGGCACCATCAACCATTCTGTTTCGGTAGCCTGAAACCCCCGAAAGTTTTGGATGTATTATGCAATCTCATTCTGTGTTTTTTTTTTTTGTCTTTTTTTTTTGGGCTCGTAGTGGTGGTCCAGGATTGTGTGGTTTCTACCTATGCTGTTCTTTTAAACCTTTATTCACCTTTAGTGTGGAGAGTTGAATCCCGTCGTGAATAGCGATGCGCGAGGTTGGCAGTAGACATGAACGGCCACATGTAGTGCAGGAGACAAAGTCCATGCATGCAGGGACACAGCACACCAATGGCACACTTCAGGAGGCTCACACCTCCGAGGCCGGCTGGGCAGATAAAAGTTGGAACGAATGAGCGACCACCGAGCTGTTTGGGATCCTGCACTGTGGCTTGGTTTCCCCCAGGAAGAAATGCGCGGACTGTCTTTTCCGGTTTTTGTTTCTTGTTTTCATTTGCGGCGTTTTGACGCTTCTCAAGGCGTTTCGTTGTTCTGTGGGTGTGTGTGATGTCTTGGTTAAATTTAATAAATTGGTTTCTGTTCTTTGGCTAAGTGATGTTCCGGGGCGAGGTCCCATTAGCAGTCGGATAGGAGTGTGGCCGATCCAGTGTGACACTGAGTGGCAGCGGGGTGACAGGTTCATTACGAATTTCTGGGCTGAGAAAACAGGAGAAAGGCAAAAAAAAAGAAAAGAAACAGAGACCTCCCACCGGAACTCACGGCAGAGTGCTTCCCAGCCATCAGATCACAAATGATCTGATGGTGGTGGTCCCCACAACAGTGCAGAAAGTAACTGCCGGTTATTTTCTGGAATAAACTCGACTTCTGTCAGCAGTGATCCTGACGCCCTCCATATACTCCGTGATTGAAGGAGGGCTCCACTCAATGAGATAATTGCACAACAGCAAGTAAAATACCGAAAATCTTCTATCCAGTGGGCCAAGGCCAACCCCGCCCTCTTTTGGGGTTGGCCACACCCCCAACCGATTGAAAAGATTCTGGCGGGAAGCTTTCTTTGCACGGGTATGCCCAGTGTTAAGTAGAGGAGGAGGGGAACAAAGATCTTCTTACTTTTTCGGGTAATACATGTACAATACTGACCATGGGATCACGAGTACTGAACGGCAGCACTTGGGTCACTCAACTGCCACACAAACTCTTTTCTATCCTATCCCGTTGCTAGTGGGACCTCGCCCCTGGGGACGTGAAAGCAGCTACAGCCCTCAGCAAAAACCGGCTCTCTGAAAAAAAAAAAAAAAAAAAAAAAAAAAAAGCAAAAAAACCTGAGTGGGGATCCGGGTTGCCCGGGTGACCGGCAGGGGCCCGGGGGAGGCGTGGCCGGGCAGGGCACCCGGTTGGATGACGGGCCCCCCCAGCGCACTCACCTGTCGGGGGATTTCGGACCCCCGTTGTGTGTGTGTGTGTGTGTGTGTGTGCGAGAGAGAGAGAGAGAGAGAGAGAGAGAGAGAGAGAGAGAGAGAGAGAGAGAGAGAGATGTGTTCGAATCATACTTGCGGCGCATCTCATGCGCGGGGGTGCCGCATGCGCATGCTCCAGTCTATTCGTGGGAAGCAGCACGTGCTGGGAACCGGGCCCAGCATCCCATATCGAATTGTACAGATCATTGAGACATTTGAGATACCGGGGCCATTACCCGGCTTCGGCTGAGATCAGTCTGTGAATATCTAATGACCTATTAGGGAATTACTCATGCAATAACCTGCCATGCTCACTACCCTCAGGTTCCCTGACAAACCCTTCTAAGCCTTCCCAACACCGTCTTACTCCCTGCTGAGCTCTTCCAGGTCTCATGCCCCCACCCTGCTGGGTTACAGGGCAACACAACTCGCCCCAGCTCCGGCCACCGTCGTCCCAGCAGCAAACCTTGGCTGTCCCTTGGGATGCCCACCCCAAAGCATCCCCAGATCTCTCTACGAGGTCGCACGCTCCTGCATCAGCAGCTTACAGGGCAACACCCCAGCACCGGCCAGCGTCGTTCTGGCATCGAACAGCCACAGATCACTGAGTATAACCGCTTCAAAACCGCCTAGGATGGGTTGCTAAGAGTCCCTTGAGTCCTCAGACATTCATAAGAAGAACCGCCAAATCAGATAGGTGAAACCTATTCAATCGACCAACGACCACCACCAGCATGGCTGTTTTCAGCACGGACCGACGCTCTTCTAGGCCCCATGCTCCCATCAGGTTAGGTTACAGAGTTGCACCACCATGCTCCAGCACCAGCCAGCGTTGCTCCAGTTACGACCCCCAATAACCACTGAGACTGCCCCCGCACACAGCCCCCCAGAGCTCGCCGCATTAAAAAAGTAGAAAAATAAAAACGTTCTAGTTGTGTCCGGCCTCTTTTCGAAAGGATCCCTACAGCATATCAGCTAGGACCCGACGTCGTGCAGAGAAACACTTCAAACTTGTACTCTGTGAACTTCTTCATAGTTTTTGGATTGTTCTTAGCCGAAGCCAGGTAACGGCCCTGGTACTTCCACAAAAAAAAAAAAAAAAAAAAAAAAGAGGGTGGGCAGAGAATATGTAGTCTGGATTCGAATTCAGGTCTGCGCATCTCGGTTATGGGTCACTATCTCTCTGTTTTCTCACTTTTCTTTTCTTTTCTCGTTTTTCTTTTCTTAGGACTACGTGCAGTGGCCC